ATCAAATAAAATACAATTAAATTCTACGCAAATCTAAGAATTTAATCTCTCAAAACAAAATTTATCATTTTTTTACCATTACAAAGAAATAAGACACAAAATGCCATAATATGATTTGTCAATTTTTTATTTTCATTTGTCTATTTATAACTAAAAAATATGGTTGTGAGGTATAAATTGTTAATCATATAATTTAAGTTTTATTTGGTCTAATATAAACAAATTTAGGAGCAATCTATTTTATTTTCATTTTATATCTTTGATTGTACATAGATTTAGTCGTGCATTTAAAAATTAAACCAAAGCAGCCCAAACAATCATGTTGCAATTATGTTTTTGTTACAACCATGTATTTTTCAATGGTTTAATATGAATATTGGCATTTATTTTTGTGTTTAATTTTTGCACGATCTTAATTTTATAATCACAAATATTATTGTGAATTAATTGATTATTATAATTTTTAGAAAATAGAGTCAATCGGACTGAATCGAAGTCCACATTTGGTCTGAGATTTTGGACTCGGATTCGGGCTCGGATCTATATAATTAAATCCAAAATTTGGTCCTATAAATTTCGGGTCCGGTTCGACCTGCTATATTCCTTTGTAATCACATATATAATTTTTTTAAAAAAAATATTAAATTTTTGAACCATCCCGAATTATATATTCAAAGTTCGAATTGAGCCCACCTCGAAAACATGATTTTTTGGGGTAAAATATTTAGGTCCGAAGCACGATATTTCTCAAGTAAATTCGGATAGATTTCGGATCTAAATTGACTCCTCCATGTGAAACAAAGAAGTTGTTACGTGACTTTTAATTTACAATTACAAAAGATAAATTAGGCAATTAATTTTCTATTGCGTCCACAATTAATAAAGTGCTGAAAAATAGGGAAAAAAAAGAAGAGCTAGAAACCATAATAATATTGGGTTTCAAATACGTTGGCCCCCACATGCTTCCTCCTTTTGGTTATATCGTTATCGTTACATTTTCCCAAATTTCGATACGGATATTGTTCACATTTTTTGAGAGTAACGAATTTTCTTTTTTATATATAATATAAAATAATATTTTCATTTCAAATTAAATAATCATGTTTTATAAGCTGGACATTGCATGATATTGATTATTAGGGTTCCACTCTCACACTATTGCTGATTGCAATATATAGTTAGATATACACACAAAAAAAAAACAATATAATATATGTATGGGGATACGCATACATATTAAACGTCAAAATATATTTAAATATTGTACGGCGGCACATCAAGCCAAAAACATGTTTCCTGCCATTACACATATACATGTATATATATATTGAAAGAATAATGTTCATATTTTCTTCCAAAATTTTATCTTCCGACGTTATAATATGTCAGCATATATCAGAATTAAAATTAAAAAATACGCATAAAGTCCTAACAATTTTTTCCATTTCATGGATAATACAAGGAGACATGTACAGGTCTTTCTTTGAAATATATGCAACTTGAGATAATTATCTAAAAAATAATTAAAATTTTAAAAAATCCATATAAAATCACCAATTTTATGGATTCTATATAAAATAATAAATTATTTAAATTCTTGCCATATTCCTACATTTTCATTAAATTTGTAAATTTTGTAACTTTTATATAAAATCATAAACTTATAAATTTTGTGAAAAAAAGATTAATAAATTTTATGATTTTATATAAATTCGTATTTTTATGGCGATTACCCTGTTGTTTAATATTGAGCGGCATTGTAAAACCAAATTGACAAATAATATATATAAATAAATATTAATCAAAATCAATACAAATTCTATAAATGATAGTATTGATGTTTGAGATTTCTTCATTAAACAAATTCTTACGTGTTAAAAAAATGAAGATGTTAATTATTTCTATTAAACTCGGATCGTAGATATTTTATATTTTAATTTGATATTTTCCTAATTTTATAAAATTTATACGTACTTCCTTTGCATATTAATTTTTTTTCTTCTAGTTTGGTTTTGTTTATATTAGGTTTGGATTCAAATTTTATTAAAAATATTTATTTTCAAAATAAATATTTATTCCCATTTAATATAATATTCGGTTTAATTTGATTTTTGTATTAGTATGAGATATATACCTTACTATTAATACAGAAATTTAGTTTTGCAACGTACGAATCTAAATTTGTCTACTACTAACACACATTGCTAAATTTAGTTCATAAAAATAATTCATCATTCTTTGGCAACACGGATTAAGAAAGGAATTATTTTTTAAATAGAATTTAATTAAACATGCTAATAATACACCATTAGACTCAAGTTCACGTAACGGAAACGTATGTCGACAACTTGGCAACTAGATAGAATGAGATTTGGCAGGACGTACCAATCTCAATTTCCCCAAAAACGTATTAATTTTATATGAATATCAAACGCACCCAACTTGTTATTTATCCCTTTTGCAGAAAATATGATTATAACCATCCACCGAACTAATTATCATCGAATCTAGGCCACTAGATTTAGTCTCATTCCTTTGTACGTAATATATACCATTTAGGTCTTATTTATTCAAAATAAAATATTCTATAAATGACTTCGCGGTTATGTATTTATTTTAGTATCAAACTATGGTGGGTGCATTATTATTATTATTATTATTATTATTATTATTATTATTATTATTATTATTAACACAAATGATTTATAAGTTTGTTAATTGTTTGACCATATTTTTCTTCTTGATTTAGACCATAGATGATTCGAAATATACATTATTGCAATAATATTTTTTGATTAATGCAAATTTTTCACAGAAATTTATCTTTTTCTCTCCAATTGAGTCTCACACCGAATTCTCGCACAGGCTAACGTCGTGATATGCTTCGTTACTATATTACCTATTAAATGTCATAGGTATATGTTGATTTTTTTTTATGGTAATGGAATTATCGATTGCGATTGTTTAGAAAATTTTACATTTATTTGTATATCTAAAAAATTATATACACATTTTAACCAATTTTTATTGATACGTTTTAATTTAAAAATTAAGTAAATCATGTTTAATATTTAATGTATAATATATTCGAATTTTTTAGTGGAAAGTGAGAAACTAGTCAAAATAGACGAGATATTTTTACCTCAACTACTATTATAGTATTACTAACACACGCAACACGTATGTTAGAATTCGAAATTTGATTACGCAAAAAAAAAAAAAATCGAAGGCTGATTTTGACAAAATAAAATTTATATTATTCACGAAAAAGTAAGAATAAGTAAAACTAAATATATTTAAATTAATTAGACATGAATTTAAAAATTAAATTAATTTTGAATATAATAAATATGCAAATATAAATCTAGATAACGTAGATTTTTTTAATAATAAATAATTTTATTATGAAAAATTAAATTTAAATCGAATCCCGCCACATCAAATTTGAGAATAAAATTAATGATATAATTTTTCAAAATAGAAAATAAAAGAATTAATCTAAAAAATAGAGTTAAAATATCTACATCTACATCTCCACATCCCAATTTCACTTTCACATTTTTATTATGCAACTTTTAAAACGTTTTTGTAATTTTATTTAGTTCAATTTACTTTTTTTTTTTTACTTTACCGTGTAAGACTGTGCAAGCCACGTGAAGTTAATCTCGCCTGGAAGGTATGGGCCCACTAGGATTCTCCGTATCCAAGTATTGGGGCCATAGACTTAACTCGCACGTGTAAACACATACTCTCCCACGTGAACGTCCACGTGTCTCCCTTTCGCCACGTCACTCTCATCCCCTCGCTCCCATGCCATGCCATGCCATGCCATTCCCTTTCCCTCTCACATACTATATGACCCATTCAAATATGATGATATGTTTCGTCGAATATTAATTTTTTTTGTACTAAATTATTTAATATCTAGAAATAGTTATAGAAATAATATTCATACGCTCAAAATAAATATAATCAAAATGCATAATAAACAATCAATTTGAGCATATAAACACTACGAAATACGAATTCAAAATTATCCAATACGGAATTATTGGCTTGATCATTGTATCGGACAAAATTTGAAAATACAAAAAAATATTGGTATTGTTAATAAGAAATAAAAATAGAATAGAAATGTGTTTAGTTTTGTATCAACTTAGATCTCTTATATGGTAGAGCTTATAATATTGTCAGATTTTGTTAAATAGAAATGATTAAGGTTATAACATGATAAACCAAATAAAATCAAATTAAATTAACTTTGATATATTTTTTTAAAAATAATTTTATTTCATTTTTTATTAGATCGTTGATTTTTATAAAATATCACTGATTTCATTTCTTTAAAAGAAGTCAAAATTATAATGAGCATGTTAATATTCCTTTTTTTCAAAACACGCTAATATTACACTAATATGATGGAATTATCTATTATTTTAATTTTTTTTACATATTGACAAATTGTATATCAATTTTCATATTGCCGAAGGCATATATAATTTAGATAATCTCCATGAATAATGTTTCATTTGTGTTGGTCAAATCTTGAATACCTTGCTCTTTTTTTATTTACATATCAAAATCGAATTTATGCTTGACACCAACCGTGGTGATTATGAAATAAAGTTAGGCCGACATATATTCACGTTTAAAGTTTGCTAAAAGAATATTTACAATGTATAGCTACGAAAATAATCTAATGGTATAGGTCCAATAAAATAAATCAGATACGATCTTTGTCTTTTTCGGTCATATTTGCCATGCCACGGTCAAAGTACTTGCATTTGAATCCAAAGATTTCACGTGTATTTATTTATTTATTTATTTTTAAAAAGATATTGTTATTTATTAATATTCGTATTTAGCTATTGAAACATATACGAATTACGACGTGGTACGATTTAAAATCTGACGTGATCTTCTATGAAATTCTCAGTACAAACCCTTTGTCCTATAAATAGAGAACTTGCGTCTCATATCCTCGACACACAAAACTAACCCATAAGAACTCATCATATTATTTATTGGGTTTTCAAAAGTTATTTCTTTTTTCATTACTTTTATTTTATTTGAAAAAAAATATATTTAGAGAGAGAAGAATCTGTGCATGTTGCGCAGAAAATCTTTAAAGTGTAATCTGATCTTACGTTGGCTCTCACGAACCCCCACGAATCTCTGTTTCTTCCTCTGTTTTTTTCCTTTCCTTCCATTTTCCCGAGAAAATCTTTAAAGAATATACAATCTTTCATCATATTTTCTTCTATAAATTCGTTCCTCGTCAAAAAGATTCGATCTTGAATCGTGGGTTCCTCTGGTTTTCGCGAATTTTTCCGTTTATGAATCCTAAAATGGCGTCGAAGTTTCTACTAATCACGTTCGCGATATGCAAGCTAATCGTAGCCGTCGGATTCAACGACCTCCTCCTCGTCGACGTTGACGGCCACGTCAGCGACCACCCGTCCGACGTGGCGGCGGTTTCGTCGGACTTCGGCATGCTCACTCCGCCGGAGCCGCCGACAGCGGTTCTCCGGCCGGCCTCCGCCGATGACGTGGCGCGCCTCCTCCGCGCCTCTTATGGCTCCGCCGCCGCCTTCCCCGTTCCTCCTCGTCGACGTTGACGGCCACGTCAGCGACCACCCGTCCGACGTGGCGGCGGTTTCGTCGGACTTCGGCATGCTCACTCCGCCGGAGCCGCCGACAGCGGTTCTCCGGCCGGCCTCCGCCGATGACGTGGCGCGCCTCCTCCGCGCCTCTTATGGCTCCGCCGCAGCTTTCCCTGTCTCGGCACGCGGTCACGGCCACTCGATCAACGGGCAAGCAAAGGCCGGAAAGAACGGCGTCGTCGTGGAGATGGGTCGCCGGGAAATCATCTCCGGCGCGGGGAGAAACCCGCCGGAGCCGGAGGTATCGGCCGAGGGAATGCACGTCGATGTTTGGGGTGGTGAGCTATGGATCGATGTGCTGAAGAAAACGCTAGAGTACGGTCTGGCTCCGAAGTCGTGGACCGACTATTTGTATCTCACGGTGGGAGGGACGATTTCTAATGCTGGGATTAGCGGCCAAGCATTTCACCATGGCCCTCAAATTAGTAACGTCCTGGAGCTCGATGTAGTCACCGGTACGTTTTATATATATATTTTTTTTATAATCGGTATATTTTGTATATTTCAATAACAAAACCATATATGATGATTTCGTGTTTGGAATAATAAGGTAAAGGAGAGGTGATGAAGTGTTCGGAAGAAGAGAATTCAGAGTTGTTTCATGGAGTTCTTGGAGGGTTAGGTCAACTCGGGATCATAACTCGTGCCCGAATCGCTCTCGAGCCATCTCCCCAAAGGGTAATTAAAATCCTTAAAAATCGAATGGACCATAATATTTACAAAGCTTTATCAAGATCGTTACTTTTCTTCTTTAATTTCTTGAAAACTTTGAAGTTATAGTTAAGAGAAATGAAATGAATGATATGACATGGTAGAAATTTACGCAAATATTTTCATGCAAATAAAAAGAAAAAGGGTCGCATGAAGAATCAAAGAAGCTGCATGGGTCCATATGTAAAGCTTTGGAACCTACAACAATGGCTGTTCTAAAGCTGGCGTTGTTGTTGACATTTCTCAAAACACTTTTGTTTCTTCCTCCAACTTTTTTTTTTAAAAAATTATTTCCCTATCAAACTAATCTTATTATATATATGTAATCAAATGTCATATCAAATACGAATCCTTGAAATTTACTAATATATAAATAATATTGGCACAGGTGAGATGGATACGAGTATTGTACTCGAATTTCTCCGTGTTCACACGGGATCAAGAGCAGTTAATATCGTTGCATGGACCGCCGAAATTCGATTACGTGGAAGGGTTTGTGATTGTGGACGAAGGGCTCATTAACAATTGGAGATCTTCGTTTTTCTCTCCCCGGAATCCCGTGAAAATCTCCGCCCTCGGCGGCGACGGCGGCGTTTTGTATTGCCTTGAGGTCACCAAGAACTACGACGAATCCTCCGCCGACACCGTCGATCAGGTATATATAATTTTATAGCGTTTAGATACTTAAATTTTCATAAACTTCTTAATTATAGTCCTTCGTCACATTGGGTATATATATATATTTATATATAATAACTTCATCAAATATGTCCCGTAAGTATGCTTGGCATTATATATATTTGTATGTATGTGTGTATGTGTGTGTATGTATGTATGTATGTATGTATGTATGTATGTATGTATGTATGTATGTATGTGTGTATGTATGTATGTATGTGTGTACGTGTGTATGTGTGTATGTATGTGTGTGTGTGTGTGTGTGTGTGTGTGAGAACCCACTTTATGTTTTATAATACAAAGTAAAGACACGAAGAAGATGCCACAGAGGATCTACAAAGATCTATCTTTACATTTGAACTTCATAGTGGAAAGATTTTTTTTTTCTATATAGTTTTATAATTTTATTATAGTGAAGTAATTACAATCCTCTAATTAATGTAATTGACGGCCCGTGGACCACTCACCAAATTATTCTCCTTTCTTTCAATCAATTAATTCATTAATTCAAAAACAACTCTTCTCGAATCTAATTCTATAATCAGGAGTAGGG